GAAGAGATCTCCTATGCTCTGCTGCCATCTGCAGAGCTGACTTAATACAGAAAATTTCCACTAAGGAAGGTTAAGTATGTTGCTTGTTGAAGTGGCAGAGGGATAGCTGTTGGAATCAGAACTGATGAAAATAAATTATACCAGAGCATGCACACTGCTACAGATAAGAGCCCACAACACAGGGAATCCAGGATAGATAAACCCCTCAGGGCCAACAAGGAGAGTATAGATACCAGGAGGATTAAGGGGGGGCGGGGGTTTGATCACAAGGATCAACCTAGAACCCACTGCAAGGGGGACAAAAACGGAAAAGTGGATGAGGGGCGATGGAGGATGATGTTTAAGATGTGGGAAATATAATCTATAACTTATCAAGGGTTCGTGAGGGAGAACAGGTGGGGGAGGGAGGGGAAAAATGGGGAGCTGATATCAGGGGCTCAAGTGGGAAGAGAATGCTTTGAAAATGATGATGGTGGCATATGTGCAAATGAGCTAGACACACTGGATGAATGTATGGATTGTGATAAGAGATGTAAGAGCCCCCAATAAAAGTATTATTTAAAGAAAAGAAAGAAGTTAACAATACACTCACGACAAAAACATACTGTGAAATGCATACAATCAAATGATGTATCTAAGAAAGGTTGCCTGTGGGAAGGAAGAGAAATGAGTTTGGGAAAGGTAGACGAAGGAAATAAAACCAATTTATAACTAATAAAACTATCCATTTATATAAATAGATAAATTACACTGCTAAAGCATAAATAAACAGCATAAATTAATATGTAGCATTATGGACTGTCAACACCAGAACTCCCTAATATAAAACCAGTTAAGTAGCTGTCTTAATAGAATGTGATTAGTACTACGGAAAGGCACATCTTTTTATTATTATAAGATCTTTAATATTTGAGTATGTGATAATTGTGCTAAGTTTTCTTTATAACTGTAATCTCCTCCTCCTCATACGTAACTAAGTTAAGTATGGTAAAGACTACATATAAGCATGCTCAAGAGGGTATTAACAAGCCTCAGGAAGGAGAACTGGCATGATGAGCCCTCAGCACTCATCACCCTCTGACATTTGTTAGCAGGCTTACCTTTATTGGTTAGTGCCAAGGTATCGGACAGTTCACCCTCCAAGTGGGCAAATGGCATGTCACGTCAGTTTTGGGGCATAAAAATGAGGGATTTTCTCTATCCCAAGACTATGGTACAAAATGCCAGATCCACTGAAGAAAAGTTCAGCCCACCTAAGCCTACTTGGCCTGGGAGAATCAGCAGGTTCCCTTTTCCAAGTCCTCACCTATGGTACAAAGTAGGATCACCTAAGAGTCGTCACCTATACCCTGAAAACCTTCTCCAAGCAGCGTCGCAGCTTTAAAAAAAAGGATCAAAATTTGTCTTGCCATATGTTGTCTTTAGGAGCCTGGTGCTACAATGGTTACTTGCTCATTCTAACCCAAAATTCAGCAGTTCAGACCTACCAGCTGTTCGATCCACAGGAACAGTGTATGGTAGTCTATTTCCATAAAGACTTATAGTCTTAGAAAAATCCTATGGGGCAGCTTTACTCTGTCCTATAAGGATCGCTATGAGTTAGAATTGATTCGCCAGTAACAGGTTTGGCTATCAGCTGTCTGCTTCTTGTAAAAAGCTAATGTTCTGGGAGCTATCTGGTGTGTGTAGGTTTGAGTTAGTGCCTAAAACCAAAAAAAAGGAAACCCTGACAGAGCCCCAGTTTCATCCTAAGTCTTGAGATAGTCACAATGCCATCTTGAGTACCACACATTCACTTTCGGATCACGAACCTGCCATGGTGAACTCCCAGTGAGACAAGGCCGGGCAGTCCAACAACTACTCCCTGCCACCGAGTTCATGCCCTAGAGGGCAGAGTAGAACCGCTCTTGTTAGTTTTGGAGACTAACTGTTAAGGAAAATGGAAAACCTCTCCTTTCTCCTGTGCAGTGGATGCGAGCCTAACTCCTAACAACTACACCCCTAGGGCTCCAGGTAGGGCAGTAGGCCCAGCAATCTCCTTGGTAAACCAGCATGGCAGGGGCAGTTCCTCCTATGAGCTGACAAGACATACGTATGGAATAAGGTAGGCTTAAAGAAGTTCCCCTACAAGAACAAGATATGCAAACAGAAGAGGTCCATCTCCTTGCCCTCCCCAATTCTGGCCTGATGGATCAATAAAAAAACCCCTCCTGACTAGTTTTACTACAAAACTTTGACAAAGGTATTGCAGAACCTATAGTCCATGTGTATCTCATTGGTTGAAAGAATCAAACCATTATCAATGTGTAAATCACGTATGGCTCTTCAGTCATACAGAGCTTTGATGGTGGTCAGTCCTTTTCTGATCTGTCTTTTCTCTACCGCATACGCCTCATAAAATTCTGGTTTTCCTCTCTATTATAATCTTGTGATGATTTTCCCTGAAGACAGGTTATAATCAGAAAGATGTAATATTCATGGACGAATGTAATATTCATGGATGAATCATCCCTAATGAGTGGTCCCTTTCATCTAATGGCCTTCTCGATATTTTGAAATTGGAAGTTTTATGTCTCTCAACTCAGCATGAAAGTCAAAGTCCAAGTAAATCAGATTCAAAGCAATACAAAAATTGCTAAGCAGTATCCACATCTCTGTTAAATGGATAACTACCACTACAATTCACAGAGGGAGTGGACTATTAGCCTGCAAGTTTTTAAAAACTTTACATAGTCTTCCCTTTATTATTACAAAGAAGGCACTGAGACACAGGGCTGTCTCTCCAGGATCTATTAAATTGATAAGCATGGCCTAAGAATCAATGACATCGAACTGTCAAGGTCAGCTAGAGGTGTGGACGACCCATCCCAACTCTGTCTCACATGATAATGAGGCACAAAAGCCTTGAGTTATGAAATCAATCGCTGGGCTGGAATAAGGACTGATCAGAACGCAACAATGGGGTCAATGGGAAAGCACTGAAAGGACTGAGGCGAGGTGAGCCCAACAACCCGGCCCCTATAAAATCCAGTATCGTATACCTAGATTGGGTTGTTGTCCTCACATCATGAGGCAACCTGCTTCATTACTGAATAAGCAAGTATAAACAAGTACACTTTGCTTATCATTCAATCTTTGCTCCACTTATTGTCATGTACTGAGGTCTTGCATGTGTAGCTCCCTCTGCTATGACTCAGGAAAAACATTCTAGTGGGAAAGAAAAGCCTAATTTTTTCCACATAACACAATAATTTTGAAAAAACACAACATTTTGTTTCCTATAAGAAATCATGGTCATTTAAGTAACTCCAAGCTGACTTAAAATTCTACCTACAAGCACCTCAAGTTTGAGTATCAAAAGCCAGATAAAAAAAAAAAAAAGCCAGATAACAGAAAAAGGAACAAGACTTGTTCAAAATAGCTCATTCTATAAAATCTTTTTACTGAATACCATATTAAAAATAGTAAATATGATTACCAGGCAGCTACCTAACAATTTCACTATTTGGAGCCTAATATCACCATTTTACATCCTATTATACATCTGTATTATAGACAATTTTACTATGGGTTTATATTGCTTTTGAAATTTTATAATTGAGCTAGTTTAAAGTATTTTCATGCCGTTTTATGAAATTTTTAAAGTACTAAAAAATTGCAGGAATTATCAGCTTAAAAGAAGATTTATACTTGTACAAGCAAAGATATGTCTTATAACTTAACCCTTGTTTAATATCCACATCCAAATAAAATGATTTTGTGAATAAATACACTCATTCAAAAACAAAAATAATAATATCTATATAACAAGGACTGCCAAATATTTCATTAAAACCCAATATAAAGGTCCCTTACATCTAGTAGGAAACTGAACATATTACTTGACAACTAGCACTGTCTAACTACCAGAGAAGAAAAAAAAAATGGATCTCCTTCATTATTCCTTATTCATTTGACAGTCACACGTTGAAGTTTATTGTGCCAACCTGGCTGAAAAACACATGTGGAGTTAATTGAAAGGCAGAGAGATAAATGGCTCAGTGAGCCTCACCTTTGGAGTTCTTGGGTCTCTTGCTTTGTGATGGTCAGACCAGGGTGCAGCTGCCTTAGCCAGTTCCCGCTTCAGCTGGCAAGGCTCACTTCCTGCGAGACATCCCTGAGGAGAAGCCACATGGACCTACCCAGATGCAGCCCTGGGTGCTGAAGCAGCCATGTGGAGACCCCTGTCAGCGCTGAGATGCTTACACATTCACTGACTTGGCTTTCCTCCTGCAGTCGGCATCATTGTGTGTGTTTTGTGAGATAGAGGAGGACTTTGTGGATTGGTGTCGGACATATGGGCTAATGTTGGACTTACAGGCTTGGGCAGCACTGGGTTGGGATGTTTTCACTTATCCTTTATATAAAACTCTCTCTTACACATATGAGTTTCTGTGGATTTGTTTCTCTAAAGTACTCAGACTAACACACATGTGATTTAACAGAACACTGGTCACAAAAAGCTTGTTCCTTTTTATCATCATCTATCAAGCTTTCATTATCAAGATATGAAGCTATATTTGTAAAATAATAGACACAAAGAAATAAAGTCCTTTTGGTAAAGTTATGGGAAAGAAATTACGAGCTGTTACAATTAATCTAAAATATTTCTAGTAGCAGATTTTATTTATTTTTTAATCATTTTATTGAGGGCTTTCACAGCTCTTATAACATCCCACACATTAATTGTATCAAGCATATTTGTACAGATGTGGCCATAATTTCCAAAATATTTTCTACTTGAGGCCTCTTTTTTTCCCCCTCCTTCCCCTACAGATTTAAAATTTCATTCCAAAAACCAATGTTAGACACTGGGATCATTAGATGCTCTGTCATAAAGCATGATGATTATAATGCTTTAAAAGTAATGCCATACATTTTAAATTTATATAGATACTAAATTTCAGCGCTCAAAAGTATAGTCTTGTGGGCTACAAAAGTATTCATATAGAAAGGCTCACCTTCATCCACAGAAAACTGGCAGCTCTTGTCATTGAAAAAAAGAATTTTCTTCTTATCAGGACGATTTACAAATAGTATCTGGTCCCCTAGAGCCTTAAAGATACAAAAGATTGTTCAGTTAACTCAAAATTGACCAAAGAGAGAGAGAAACATGCTTTTTGTTTGTTTTCTCTGCACAACAGAGGGCTCTCATTTCTTTTATTTCTCAGTATATACCATTAGAGTTCACTGGACTCAATTTTAGTTTTTGAGTGTTTTTGTAAGTAATCTAAACTATTCTTTAAAGATTGGTTTTCTGATTTTCATTAAGAGGTGTTTTCCCTGTATTTTAAAAAGTAAATAAAAATCCATCCTTTATTACAAAATCCATCCATATTACAATTAATATATGGGTCCATATGGGGCCTTTTATTAATCTAAGATACATTGTGGGATCTTACTGGTTTTATTTTTCCTCTATCTTGAAATATTTTGCTACATATTCATCATAACTATCTTTTATTTCCCGTTATGGGCTCATTAAGTAGACAGAGGTGGGAAAAGTGTTTTTCTCATGGGAGGAATGGTACATATAAAAGTTCCACTGTAGAAAATGTAAAGATAACATCAGACAATTTAAAATCACTCAGTGGTTCTATGGACAATAGATTGACAGGGAAAATGGAAGAAATTAACTAGTTGGCCTTGCTAATATTTCAGACTTGGTAAAGGTGGATGAAATCAAAGTGAGACCAGGAACATCCTATTTGTTAGTTATAACTGTGCTTCTGGTTATCTAGCCTCCAAACCTTGATTTACTCTATCTTATCCCTTAAAAGCTGACTCAGAGAAAAATAATTGGAAGGTAATAAAATTTTTCCACAAACGTTCTAAAGGCCTTGTGTAATTCTGCAAAGGTTTCAGTCTCCCTTCATGTTGTGTCCCATTTTAGTAATTTTTCTCAATACTTCAAATGTTTTCATAATACTATCACATACCTAATAGACTACTTACTCAAATTCACGGCCATCAAGTCAATTCTGACTCATAGAGGCCCTATAGAGTCAGGTAGACATGCCCCTAAGAGTTCTGAGACTGTAACTGTTTGGGGGGATAGAAAGCCCCATCTTCCTCCCACCATATGGCTGGTGGTTTTGAACTGCAGACTTTATGGTTAGCAACCCAACCACCGGAGCTCCTTACTACAGCACAGTCTAAACACCGCCTTTTATATGCATGGGAAAACACAAAAATGCATGTGACTATTTTATTGTGATATGTGCTTTATCGTGAAAATCTGGATCCAAGCCCACAGTACTTCTAAGTATGCTAACTCTCAGATCAATGCGCAATTCAGCATTTCTGCACCACTCAGAGTTCTAACAAGTGCTTAAACATAAGCTGACTGTACTTCTGCCTCTGCCAGAGGGCTCAAATGCTTTTTATAGATTTTCTCAGTTCTAGCCCAGCATTAAGGCCAAAAGCAAAAAAAATCATGCAGTGATTCAGAAGTATCATTTTACAATGAAATAATATGGTTTTATTGTTGTTTTAAATAAAAAGGTATAGATTATTTTGTAAAAGCAACCAGTAAACAGTGCATGTTCACCTTTTACTTAATGCATGTTCACCTTTTATACAAAAACGTATTACAGTATATACTTGAACATATGCCGACTTGAATATCAGTCGAGGCACCTAATTTTACCACAAAACTTGCACTTAAAATGTGCTGAAAAACTCAGCTTATACACAAGTATATACGGTACTTTTATTTTTTTTAAAGCTACTGCTTACTTACTTCTATCCTCAGCAGATAAAAGGTTATTTATTTATCTAATTCTCTCCAAACAAGATCTGTAACCTAATACATTTTACTTTTAGGCTTAGCATTTTAAAAAATTCGGAGTTAACCCTCACTAGTTTCCTTTAGGCAATCTCTTCCCAATTTCAACCTTACATGTTTTTACATCTGCATGAGTATTTAACCACCAAACCAGCAAACCTTTTCTAAAATGATCTTAAGTAACCTTAGCAGTCCCTTGATTCTATCTTCCTAACAGAAAAAGAACCTTAAAAATGGTATTCACAGGAGTTTAAGACTAGAGACACTCAATTTCCCATCAATCCTTCAACTCCCCTTTTAGAGAGATTGGGGGGGAAGCAGATTATTTGGATAAATTATTTCTTAAGTACTGTGGAGAGGTTCTAGATTCTGTAAGGCAAAGGTCAAGTTTGGTCACAATTACCCTTGAAAAAAATATCCTAAAAGTTCCTTAAATCAACAAGTTTCTGGGCCCTAGGTCATTAAGCAATCATAAACCAATAAAATAAATAATTGCTCTTTGTATTTCAATTATAGTTCCTCTATCTTTGAGAAGAAAGGAATTTCTCTCATGTTCTTTTTGCCAAATCTGTATCATTGAATTCATGTAAGTTAAAGCAAATGATTTAACTCAGAAAAGATAAAACAAAAGAATAAAAATGTTTAAAACCATCAAAATGACACCAGTTATCCACAAAGGATATTATTTCCAGGCAGAAAGAAGAGAAAGATTACCTTGACAGCTTTCTGTGAATTGGGCAGTCCTTCTTCAATGTCTTCCAAAAGGATCCCTCCTAATCCTCGCTGGTCATGCTTATCTAAGAGCCTAAGGAGGGCCTTCTTATCTTTCAAGTTATACTTGGGCTTGAAGGCATACTTCCCATCTATTACTTCAATTTTGGGATTGTTGACTAATGCCTGTAACAGTGATACAATTTGGATATATTAACAAATGGAAAACTTCATATACAAGTTCTTAAATTCCACAAATTAACACTACCTAATACAGTAACAGATTAAAACACCTTACGAATTCCAAATGGCAGATCTAAAATGCTGATGAACAGTGAATGGAGATGAACATACTGCAGCTTTTTTTAAAGAAGCTATATATTATTTATATAAATTCTCTAGATGAGAAGTAAATCATTTTATGACAACTACTCTGAAAAAAGATGTACCCATATTCTTTGAGTACAAAAGAGGGGAAAATAAATACAACAACAATTAACACTAATAAAGTAAATTTCATATTGCCCACCAAAGTATAGTTTATCATTCATTGGCATTATAACGTTTTAAGCAACATTACCCTAGTGACTTTGGAACCAGGGCGTGGTACCCAGGCAGACTGGACTGGAAACCACTCTTAAAGGCCAACAAATGTTCCTTAAACTAACTACAAGCTTTTCTTTTTTGATGTGTTTTGTTCTTTGTCAGTGGGTTTGTTGTTGTTGTTGTTTAGTTGTATATTGTTGCTTGGTTTTGCTCTGTCTTGTTTTTGTGCATGTTATTATCTCCACAGGTCTGTCTAAATAAAATAGGCTGGATGAACAATCACAATCTGGAGGAGAAAACAACGGGACCGATAGCTCGGGGGGACATGGGAGAGGGGGAGGTGGGGGGGAAAGGAAGTGGTGTTGATAAACCCAGGGACAAGAGAACGGGTGATCCAAATTGGTGGTGAGGTGGGTGTGGGAGGCCTGGGAGGGCATGATCAAGGGTAATGTGACAAAGAGGAATTGCTGAAACTCTGGTGGGGACAAAGCATGATAGAGGGACAGGAGGAAAGTCAAGGGAAATAGAGCAAAGAGCTGGGAGGCAAAGGGCAGTTATAGAGGTCTAGATAAAGACATGTACATATGCAAATATATTTATGTATGAGGATGGGGAAATAGATCTATGTGCGTATATTTATAGTTTTAGTATTAAGGTAGCAGAAGGACATTTGGCCTCCACTCAAGTACTCTCTCAATGCAAGAATACTTTCTTCTATTAAATTGGCATTCTATGATGCTCACCTTCCCGACACAACTGCTGAAGACAAAGCATGTGAATAAGCA